AACGGACGTAGCCCGCTAAATTTAAAAATTCACCTTACTTTTTGATCACACCTCGTATATGGGCATCTATCGTTTCAACAGCAACTTCCTCTGCCACACTGGACACCGTCGACGGCTGACTAGAGGTCGGCCTCTCGAAATTGTACGCGTATAGGCTGAAACGCATCGAGCGCTTTCTTCTACCCGCTTTCTGACGGGCCTCAGCTTCCTTCTTCCTCTCGTCTTCTAAGTATCCCGCCGAAGGGAACTGCGCGGACCAACCCCTACGGACGAATTGATAAGCGGGGACCAGCCTGTGTTCCGTGAGAGGCTTAAAAGGGAGAGTAGCATGTACATGCTGCTGCGGGGCTACGCGAGGCAGCTCTCGAGCCGACACTGTCTCTTTCTTGGAGTCGCTCGAGCTAAGCTCCACCTCCAAAATACCATTGGTGGGGTTTGCATCAAGGCACTCCAGCCACCTCTTCCGATCATGGCCCCCGCGCTACGGCTTCGGTTCGCCGCTCTACCCACGAGATAACCACCCCCGGCAACTCGAAAATCCGGCGATTTCTCACCTCGGCTGTTCGTCTCCGCCTGTAAGAAGACAAATTCCCTTTTCGCGGTAGTAGTCCTCGACTTCTCCGACGCTTAGCAAATGCAAAGTGTCGTAAGCCGAAATACTGCGCTCCGGTGGATCGTCTCATCCCAGGTGGACATCGGCGCTGCCAAACGGATTATTGAACCGGGTCATTTGATACCGGTCAATAACCGCACTCCACGCCGGTCGCTCTCAAATTGTTTTGGTGGCGAAGGCAAAGGCAGTGGCAAAGGTAGCTCCTTTGTCTCTTCGTCACTAACCGACGCCTGAGCTAACTGCGAATCGCAGGAGGCAACCTCAGTGTCGTAAGGGTAGGTGGTGACCCTATGCCCGAAAACGGGGCGGCAGACCTCAACACCTGGTCCATCTCCATGGCCCTCACAGCTTCCGTTGTGTTCGCCGGCGCTGTTGTTATCCCCGAAAATTCCTTGGTCTCAGCAGCCTGAGGAATGCGACCAGACTCTCTAAGTTCGTCAGTCATCATCACCCGGCGTAAATGAACCTCTTGAACCTTTAAAACAAAACAACTTAGTTATTACACCTGTCCTGTCTTGTGAACTTATTTATTTACCTTACGCGGCGGTACGTAACGTTTGATTTCAAAAACATGCCCTCGAGTAGTACGATGCTTACTGTTTGTTGCTAGCTCGTATATCTCTGTCGAAATCACTGAAATAGTTTTAAACGGTCCGTCGTATTTCGGATCGAGTTTCGCGTTTGTACCTGCCACAGCAGGTTCGAAAGCGTGTGCACTTTGCGCCAAACCAAATCGCCTACCAGGAAAAGCACTTGACGTCTACCCTTATCGTAGTACTTCTTTTACTTTTTCTGCGCTTCGTCGATGTGTCTAGCTACTAAATCGCGTAACGCATTCAAACGCAATAATCTATCTTCCCATGCTTTCGTATCTAACTTCACAATCGGTGCTTTTACCTCAATCTCGCGCCTTAAATTCTTTACCGGGCGCGGATGCCTACCAAAGTTTAAAAACGCCGGCAAAACCTTTGTAGACACCTAAGTGGCAGTATTTATAGTATGACAAAATTCACGTAAATAACTGTCCCAGCTCCTGTGATCAGCATCTATAAACATCGCTATTATTTCAAAGTACGATTAACACGCTACCGGGTCACTCTGCTGGTGATAAGCCGGGTAAAGTAAGTGTTCAATACCGTACTGTCGCAATCTGTCCTGAAATATTTTGCTCTTGTAAGCCTTCGCGTTATCGCTAACTATATACTCAGGAGTTTTCCACCTAAATAGAATCAACTCCTCAAGCGCGGCAGCAAGAGCAGGACCGTCTGCTGACCGTAGCGGTTTTAGTTCGACCCACTTGGTAAATAAGTCTTGAAAAACCACCATGTATTTAAATCTATTCTTGTTACGAGGCAGCTCTACCACGTCAGTCGCCACCATAGCCCAGAGTCTTTCTACCACTCGTTTACCCATAAGACCTTGAGGCGCCTGCTGAACTACCTTGTACCTTTGGCATTGCGAGCACTCATTTACGAACGTCTTCTCGTCATACCACACTTCTGGCCAGTAATACTCATAAACTCACGAACTATTCGATCGTAAGTCTTTTCACGGCCGAAGTGTCCAGAGAACGGTTCGCAATGAGCGTCTCTCAACTCTCTTTCCAGCGGTACCACCATGCGCCAGTATTCCTCGCGATTAGTTACCATGTCGAGCAAGTGATCGTACATGAACCGATACAGGACGTTATTTTCTACTCTCCAATTCTCGAATTTCTTCGGTCTTTGAAGAACGTCTTTCACGCGTTGTAGATACCAAGTATCCTGTATATTATCGACTATGTACTATTCCGCAGTCTAATTGCTGAAATTCTAGTACCATTCTTTCCAAGCAACCCGTTTATTTAAATCCTAGTGACAACACTGTGATCCGTAAAGATAACAAAGTGCGAACCTTCTATATAAGGCCTAAACTTTTTTACCGCAAAGAGTACCACCAAAAACTCGATTTCGCTCAAGGTATAATTTCGCTCGTGCGCGTTTAGTATCCGACTGGCGTAACATATCGGATGTTCGCCATCGACTAATACCTGAACTAAACACGCGCCAACCGCGAAGGAAAATCCATCGCCGAGCAAGTAAAAAGGGCGCGCGAGCACCGCCGCCTCAGTTAACGCGCGCTCAAACCTCTCAAATGCAACTTGCTGTTCCTCTTTCCATTTCTACGGTTAGTCCTTCCGAATAAGCTTGGTCAATGGGACCTTTATCTCACTCTCGTGTTCGATAAAACGCGCGTACCATCCTACCATACCTAGGAATCGGCGCAATTGAGCTACGTTACTCGGCGCGGAGTTATCCACTATTGACTTTACCTTGTCATCATCCGGGCCCAAACCCTCGTTATCTAACCTGTATCCTAAGTACGTTACCTCGGTACAAAAGAAATCGTATTTTTCTAGATTGATTTCTAAACCGACGCTTACTAACCGCTTCAAAACTCTCTCTAACCAGATCACGTGGCTATCGAAATTCGCACTAACTACCAGCAAGTCATCGAGATACCAAAAAACATGCGGTTCGTATTCTGGACCAAAAAGCGAATCCATAAGACCCGTGAAGGTAGCCGGTGCGTTGATCAAACCGAACGGCATTCGCTCAAATTCGCATAATTCAAGACCTGGGACCGCAAACGCCGTATATTATTTGTTATTTTCCGATAGCGGAATCTGCTAAAACGCCGCTCGTAGATCTATCTTCGACAGATAGACTGATCCGCGCAGTCTGTCTAACAAGTAAGGTACACCAAGTGTAAGTAACCAATTTCGATGAAACTTTGTTACGTGGTAGAGGACTGAAAAATAGTCGACACTTTTTTTTTATATGATAATACGTGGTTTAAGAGGAGAAAACTGCCCCTAAAGTTCGCCCCTGAAAATCGTTTTTTTGATATATCTCTTCTTCTAAATAAGATATTCTCTTGCAATCAACTGGATATTCATTGTGACTCAATAACAGTGTCACGTAGCGTACCAAAGCTCCAGAGGGTTGCAACACTTACTTTTTATAAGGAAGGAAGTGATTTTATTCCTACATTTTTGTCTGCCAAAATTGTGAATTTAATTCAATCCTGTTCTAACTTTTTTATTTAGTAGGGCATTAAGAATCAAAGTTGACGTGTTTTTTATTTTTTTCTAATTTAAGGTTGAACTACCCTTAAAGTAATTTTTTTATTTTTATTGAAACTAAACGCTTTGAGTAAACCGTATAAATGAAATTGATGTAACTAACATTGAATCTGTTCAATGTACTATGCACGACTAACAAAAACGCAGAAGTATTCATTCGTGAGGCGAAGAAACCATTTAAGGGGTGGAAACTACTCATCACGTTCACCCCTAAGAACCGTTCTTTCAATATATCTCCTTTTCTATAAAGCATTTTTTCTTGAAACCAACTGAAAATTATTTTATTCTTGCAAACTAAATCTTCTTTTATTCGGAAGGACATTGAAAACTACAGGTAATGTATTTCGAACTTTCTTTTTAAATTATATATAAGAGGGTAAGCTCTTCTTCAGTTAAATTTATAGTTTCCTTTTAACAAATAGCTATGATAACCGCTTTGAATGAAATTTCAATCTAAAGAAGGTCTAAAATAATGAGAAATGTATATCGTTATATATCAATAGCACATTCAAAACGGTAAAAACTACCATCAAATTTCACTTCTAAAATCCGATTTTCATAAGATTACTCAATTTCTATAGAATATTTTATCAAACTTTAAATACACAATACTTATACGATGATGCTTTTCTAAAAAATTTCTTCCATAAAAACAAAGCTTTCTCGAATTGAAACAATACATAAAAATTAGTTATTCGTATCATTAAACATATTCAAAGATAACAAAAATATATTTTTGATCACTTAAATAGTTATTAATTTCTTTAAATTAAATATTCAAAAAGAAAGGTCTCATTTTGTAGCCCACAATACTCTATATTCTTTAAATATTGTAATTGTAAAAAGCAATAAAGTTAATAATAATTACGTTTACAATTATTTACGGGAACAATTAGTTACTCCAACATTATTATGACCTTAAGTTGCATTACATTAATATTATTATTAACATAAGTTTCATATTCGGAAGAAACGAGTTTTCTGGTGCGTGTCACTGGAATGTTTTCAACTTGTTTATCTGCTAAAAATGAGCAGGTTTCACCATCATATGCTTACCACGTATATTTTTATTCGGTGCCAGTCAATCAAATGTTTTGTTGTGAGTCGATGCTATTCTGCGAAAGAAATTCTTGCGAAACGTTCGAAAAAAAATATACATATTTATATTATTTCAAGTCTCAAAAAAATTTCAAGAGTAGTAACGCATGTAAGTTTTAGGTCATATATTTCAGCCATGTGAAAAAAATTATATTGATGCGAGAATGCTATATATGGATTTTGAATTGGAATATGTGTAGAAATAAATGAACTGAATCAGGCATTCTACATGTTCGTATTGAAAATAACTTTCGTATTCATCTTTGATTTCGAACAATCTTTTTCTCAAAAAATTTTTGTTTTTCTCTGTGTGAATAATACTTTTTTCTTGATTTATTTATAATGTAAATTTATTTTTGATATTGTCTCTTCAAGTTATTTTCTAGTTAAATTATTTATGGAGTACATGCGTAAATATGATATTCTTCACCAACTAATTACACAGGCCTGCAAAATAGAGAGTCGTCACTGTTCTTTTACAACTTACGGTCATTTCCGAAGTAATTTTTGGCGTAGAATTAGAATCCGTCGTCAGAATTGCTTCATCACGTCAGGTTTTTGAGTAATCGTCCCCTAAAGGTCGAAAAAACACGTTTTTTGTCCATATTCAAGGCTTGATTACATCGTGAGTTTATATTCTTTTCAAAAACGGTTCACGGCATCTTAAAGAAGCACTCTTACCCTTCAAAACCCATTTTTCAAATTTAAGATATCATTTTTTTTCATCAAGATATCATCAATTGAAGTTTGCCATTTTTGAGGTTTCACCATGAGCTTAAAAGTTCGGCCAATTTTCCTGGAAGAATACGATATATTTCTTAGTTTTTTTTTTATAATGATTCTAGAATCATTATCCATCTAAGATTTTTCTTGAATTTATAATTATTTTTAACAGCATTTCATGTTTATTTTTAGCATTCAAAATGAAAATAAATCCTCTAAACGTGATAAATATGCTACTCGCTTATTTTCAACAACTGCCCATTGATGAAAGTAATTACGATATTAAGGAAGTGGAAATTAAAGATCTTTTTCAGTTAATATTATTAGATTTGATTGACTCCAGTAATAACGTCAATTCGATTGTAGAAACTACTTTACATTTCCAAGAAGAATTTAAGGAACCTAATGCTATTATTGTCGAGAATATTGATCTACATACAGTTCTTGTTGATCCCGAATTTCCGACAGACGATCGCAAGAGCCAAAGTGAGCCATTGAATTTTGAATACAAGAAATAAGTTGTAGAGTTTTGGAGGAGCGGAAAAGAAAAGCGAAATTTGTCTCTTAAAACAGTACAAAATCTGTTTCGTAAAGTCACATCTGAAACACAGTTACATCGCTGGGGTCACCAAATTAACAAAGATGGAACGTACCGGGAAAAAATTGAAAGGATTTGCGATTATACCTTGGAAAACTTTAACGCGGCTCTTCAATCTGGATTTATAATTCATGATGATGACTTGAGAAGGTGGGCTTTACAAGCACAAAAATTGGTTGGGTACAAGGATATGCGATTTAGATCTTCTAAAGGTTGGGTTGCAATACTTAAAGAAGCCCATTGAATCGTTTCTAGAAAAATTAACAAATTTGTAACAAAAAAAGCATAGAACATAGAGATGAATTGCACGCAAAAGAGATGGAATTTATAACAAACGTCAATCAATTAATAAAACAAATTGATCTTGCGAATACCTTTAATTCAGATCAGAGTGGTTTTTAATTAGAAATGCGTTCTGGTCGTACTTTAGCACTGCAAAGAGAAACGCAAGTACAGTGTCTTGTACAATCTCTCTTGTTAACTACACACAGCTATGCAGTACAACCAACGATATCAGCTGAGGAGAGTTATTGTCACCTTTATTCTTAATTTTACAAGAACGATGGAAAAATGAATTCAGGTAAAATTATGTTTCACATACTTATAAATATAGTAATTCAAAAAGGCAAAATTTACAGATCTCTTCAAAACATGGTTGAGGGAAATATATTTTCCAAATATTGGATCTACAACAATGCTATTACTTGATTCGTGGAGCAGACACTGTCCAGAGGCTCTGCATCATGCCACACCACGTGATAAAACGGTCCATTTGAAATGAATACCTACAGGAACCACTGGAAATATTCAGCCATTAGATGTTTTGAGATCCGTGTTTGGAAAAATTTTGTTAAGCAATGTTCAGATAGTATTATGTATATAGATCATGATTTAGAGTTGCACAAACGAAATAACATTATCAAATTACAGTCACTAGTTCATAACCAGTTTTCATCCCCACGTTATAAGAATCTATTCAGGTATGCGTGGTATAAAAGTAGGTATCTTGTAGATTAACCAGAGGCATTTGAAAATCCCATGGATTTCAATTTCCGAGATTCATGTGGAACGCATTGTGAAATAGACGATTGTAAAAACGTAGCTATTATTCATTGCAGTTGATGTCAGAAATCTCTATGTTTCAAGAATTTGTTTGAAGAATAAGGGGATGGATAATAAATAAATGTTGAATTAATATTTAACTCTTTACCCTCTCATATATAATTTAAATAGAAAATTCGAAATACATTACCTGTAGTTTTCAATGTCCTTCCGAACAAACGAAGTTTCATTTAGTTTGCAAAAATAAAATTTTAAAAAAATACTGACACCCTTGTGAAAAATGAGAGATGCACCCTCCTGCATCCGTGGTATAACTTATAATATTGTGACATGATAAGAAATAATTTTCATTTGGTTTCAAGAAAAAATGTTTTATAGAAAAGGAGATATACTGAAAGAACGGTTCTTAGGGGTGAACGTGATGAATAGTTTCCACCCCTTAAATGGTTTCTTCGCCTCACGATTGAATACTTCTGGGTTTTTGTTAGTCGTGCATAATACATTGAACAGATTCAATGTTAGTTACATCAATTTCATTTATACGGTTAACTCAAAGCGCTTAGTTTCAATGAAAATAAAAAAATTAATTTAAACTATAACCTTAAATTAGAAAAAAATAAAAAATACGTCAACTTTGATTCTTAATACCTTTCTAAATAAAAAAAAGTTAGAAGAGGATTAAATTCAATTCATAATATTGGCAGACAAAAATTTAGGAAAATAATCCCTTCCATCCTTATAAAAAGTAAGGATTGCAAATCAAATGTTCAAAAAGTACGGTGACTTTTCAAATTTCACGGGCAACGTACTTTCGATTATCGATTTTTTTGTTTTGTCATGTTAGTACACTCTTCCCGAACATCTGTACCAAGTTTCAAGTGTATAGTATTTTTTGTTTAGTTGTGAGAGGCGTCAAGGTTATAAGTGTTTTGCGTGCTCGGAGATTTCTTGCTATCGAAAAATATGGATCAAAGGATTTGCATCAAATTTTGTGTAAAAAATAAAATAAAGTGCTCCGAAACACTTGAAATGTTGACGGTGGCATACGGTGAAACTGTTCTGAGTAAAAAAATGTTTACAAATGGTACAAACTCTTCCAAGATGGCCGGGAAGATGCCAATGACGAGCCTCGCTCTGGACGCCCAAGCACGTCAACAACTGATGAAAACGTTCAAGCAGTGAAGAAAATTGTGCTGGAAAATCGTCGAATCACTATCAGAGAAGTTGCTGAGGATGTTGGTATATCGCTTGGCTCGTGCCATGAAATTTTTTCTAACGTTTTGGGCATGAGACGTGTGTCAGTGAAGTTTGTTCCGAAATTGCTAAATTTTTACCAAAAGAACCGTCGCATGAGCATCGCTCAAGAACTGTTAAATGACGTCAACGACGACCCATATTTTCTCAAAAGGGTCATAACTGGTGACAAATCATGGGTATATGTTTATGATATCGAAACCAAAGTCCAATCGTCCCAATGGAAGAGCCCAGATGAGCCAAGACCGAAAAAAGCACGCCAAGTTCGATCAAATGTCAAAGTTTTGCTCACTGTTTTCTGCGATTAACATGGCGTGGTGCATCAGGAGTTCTTACCATATGGACGTACGGTCAATAAACAGTATCTTGAAGTTATGCGCCGTTTGCGAGAAGCAATACGAAGAAAACGCCCAGAATTGTGGAAAAATAATTCATGGCTTCTGCATCACGATATTGCCCCTGTTCACTCATCTTTGCTTGTGAGAGATTTTTTGGTCAAAAACAATACCACAATCATGCCTCAGCCACCATATTCACCGGATTTGGCCCCATGTGACTTTTTCTTGTTCCCAAAACTAAAGAGACCTATGAAAGGACGGAGATTTGCAACGATTGAAGAGATAAAGACAGCATCGCTGGAAGAGCTCAAGGCTATACCGAAAAGTGCTTATGAGAAGTGCTTTGAGGATTGGAAAAACCGTTGGCATAAGTTTATTGTATCTGAGGGGGATTACTTTGAAGGGGACAACATAAATATTAATAAATAAATAAATATTTTTTCTTAAAAATACAAAGTCACCTTACTTTTTGAACATACCTGGTATATGAAAAAAACGGTTTTCGGGGGTGAACTTTAGGGGCAGTTTTCACCCCTTTAAACCACGTATTAGCACATAAAAAAAATACGTGTCGACTATTTTTCAGTCCTCTACCACATATCAACGTTTCATCGAAATCGGTTAGTTACACTTGGTGTACCTTCCTTGTATGATAGCGTCAATACTAGACATCGGATATGCGTCTACCTTCGTAACTTTATTTACCAGTCTGAAGTCAAGACAGAACCTATAACCACTGTATTGTTTACGTACGATTACCGGCTAGTTACTCCACTGATTATTCGATGGCCTAATTATTTTTGCCTTCCATAGCCACATAGTTTCTTCCTGCGTTAACGCTAATATAGGGGACGACATTCGACGCATCGCGATCTTTATCGGACGCGCATCACCTACATCGATGATGTGCTCGATAACTCTCTTAACCGCCAGCGATTCATCAGGCTCAGAGCGAATCCTGTGAACCAACGCCATGATTGTCTCTCGTTGGGCCTTTTCGTTCCTACCTATGATCACCTGCTCGCCAAGCGCGATTACCGTAGCTAATATTTATATCCCATTTATTCCAAAAATCCTCACCCAAAATCAAGTCATGCTTAAGTGTAGATACAACCGTCGTAATCAACCAGTCCGTCTTACCGCCAATGTCCAAGCTCAGCTTTAAGACGCTACCACGTTCGCGGCTTCTCACCCGAGATACCCAGTACGAATATCGTAGGCGGTCTTAACTGGTCCCTAAACTGTAAGCCAAGCTTTGTCTCTAACAGTGATACCTGAGCACGTGAATCTAGCAGTGCTTTATAGATCTGTCCGTCTATGTCGACCTTAATAAAGAATCTATTGTCTACTACTGCGACTAACGCTGCGTTCGAATCATCCGCTTTTTTAGGGATTTCTGAGTTACACTCAGACCCTCCCCTCATCAAAACGGAAGGTGCATCGGCATCAACGACCAAATGTTTAAGCAACAAAACCTTATCATCAACAAGCTCACCTTTATCGCGCGTGACCATGATCATCGTCGCAGCCCGCTCCGACGGGAGCGCAGCGCTTGAGCACGCTTTCTCATATACGAACTCAACCGCAGGTTCGTCCTGATTTTTAAAAGCAACGGCCTTTTCCGAATTCTGCCCAACCATGGGCAAAATACTTGAACCTGACTCCCTTGTGTTCATGCGCAACAATGGCAATTCATTTTGCCTCGCTGGGCACTTCCTGGACGAGCTAACCGCCACACGCAAATTATCTGGACTAATCGCTTCTCGCGCCTTATTGTTTGATAAATAATCGTTCGATGTAGAGTTTCGATGTTTTGAGCTAAATTCTGCGCTTCTTTGTACCGTATCGCGCTTATTTGCCTGTTCGGACCTATTACTAGCCTTACTAGCGAAATTTACACTTATGTTACCCTGCGCCCGAACTCTCTCTACTTTCGAAGTAGAAAGCTCACCCTCGAAGACACTTTGTACATTATCCAGTCCTACATACTCTACTCTACTTTCTTCCGAATCCTTGTATCCTATAATAATCACACGCTTGACTTTAGGATTCTCGTTCCTATCTAACAGAGGAAGCGCTGAACTGGCAGTTTCTGCCTTGTTCTCGTCTTTCCTTTTTACCTCGGCTTTATTTTCTTCTTCCACGGTGCCTTTGCTCCTTGTGCAAAGCACTCTCTTTACCTTAATGGCCCGCTCGATCCATTTTAGGCAGGAGTCGTGGAGCGGTCGACGGCTTCTGCAAGGATATTTCCCTGCTTAACCTGATTGCACGTAGAGCAATCCCTAAAAACGAACCCGACGGTTCCGCACACTTGGCAAACTGGCGTACTCTCGGTAGATCGGGTCGGGCAATTATTGACATAATGCCCTTGTTGCTGACATTTGTAACAAATAACAAGCGGGTTGACTTGAGCTACCGGGCATTGCACCCTCTTATGACCTACCGCGTTGCAATCGAAACAAGCCCCCATAAACAGCCTATTTAAATTGCTTCTGAACGCGTCACCTCTTTGATCACGCTGCTGCGGAATAAAGCTAGGGTCTCCTGTTGTAACCGGGCCATCGAAGCCTGCGCATTCTGCTGAGCAAGCGCGGTTTCTTTCACAGTTTGTTTTGTCGCCGGAGGCTGCTGCCTGCCGGTTGCAGCCACGGCAACTTCACCTCCCTGATTTTCACCCTTTTTACCTTGCTTTTTCTTTGGCTGTGCTTTCTTTTTCGATTGCTTAATCACTAAAATTTCGTCTACGGTATCGCTAAGGCCCTCAATAACCCTTACCGATTTCTGCTTACCTTGAGACTTTTTCGTCTCGGTGTACGCAGATTCCGGTATTAGCGTCGCATCGGCTGTCGGCGGCCGTTGCCACCTTTTCCAACCTGCTATACGGTCTTCTAATGCCATTCCTGCCTTTTAAATCCGTTTAAATCTTTAAACGTTTTTGTCTCTAGGTACCGTTTGTATCTCGGATGCAGGCCTTCCACGAGAATAGCTAACTGACGCTTAATCGAGACCGGCGGATCGAAC